TGCTACACTCGAGTTTTGAACCCGGGACAAGTTTGCTAGAGACGACCGTCCTATCCATTGAGCCAGGGTTGGTGAATCCTGGATCAGATCGGAGTACACCTATGTACTAATTTACATCCCGATCAAAAAACTAGCAAGACGTGGACCCGGTGGCTCAGTAGATAGGACGGTCGTCCCTAGCTCACTGGTCCCGGGTTCAAAACTCGAGCGTAGCGGCAGTTTCTGCGGCTATATTGGAGTCAGGTAACTGTGACCGACGACGGGTAATGACCCAGAAATACGCGTATCTCACAGTCCTAACGTTTGCCAGTAATACATTAGAAAGCATGTTCTTGGACCAAGTTATATTTTTACTGACGTTGTGGGCCAAGTGAACAGTAACGACTAATCGGTCCACCGGTTGACATGGAGGAGGCTAAAAAGCACATTGACTTGCCTACAAGTACGCTGACCCCAAAGGGTCACGCAACCCCGCCAGCGGCCAACCTCCACGAGGACAAATGCAGTCAGCAAGGAACGGACAGGTCAAAGTTCGCGCGTCCAACAGGGCTGTCATACGAGGCAGACTGCAAGACTGGGTAGATCAAAAACACCAGATGCAGCAACAAGGAGGATGAAAACGCGAAAGGCTCCGAAACTTCAGTATAAATAAAATATGGTCCAAGAACATGCTTTTTCTTCATCTACTTCCCCCTGGGGAGATTATGAACACCATAACATATCTGGACCTCGAATCCTCAGGCATAGTTGATTGTCCATGTGATAAAATCTGAAGATAGAAGTTTAAGTGGGTTTGTCTTCAGGCGCAAAATGCGGTTTACTAGAAAAGTGTTCAGTTCAAATCAATACACTGAAGGAAATAGTCAGGCAAAATCGAGCCTTATTGATATCCAAGAAATTTCCTACCCTACTAAATGCCGCGAAACATTAAGTATTGTTTATATGTTGCTATTTGCTGTAAAAGAAAATTAAGTAAAACTAGAAAAGCGTTAACTATGTATTTTCATCGAACGAAAAGTTTCTTTCTGCGTTCATGAAATTGGGGTAAATGCAAATTCAAGAAAGCACCTTGTTTTAGAAAAAAAGAAGAGCATGTAAAGTATTGAAAAATTACATTTTGCAAATCTGCTACGTTTTGCGCCGTAAAAGTAAGGAACGAACTATTAGGGGCAGGTCTAACGATCAGTTATCACGCTGTCCTGATTACTCATCCAACGGTGCACTATCGATCGGTACAAGCCGCGCCATTTATGAGATCGATCAAACCACTCACCGTGATTAGTGTTATGCGCTATCACTCTGTTCAGCCCGACAGTCAGTCAGTATGTTACCCTTCAAGAACACAATTTGATTGGTCCAATTTTGTTTGCCTCGCTTGCTATAAGTACTCTGTACTAGGTATGGAAAAACACTTATACTTTGGCGCTCTTCTTGTCGTGTTCTTCCTTGGGACTCACACAAGGCGTAGTTGGACAGCGATATCTCGGCGTCGGCGACATTTACAACGTAAAATTTTGTAGCTTTAGTTTGCTTTACTTCACGGAAAATAAGGACCGTAACCAAGCATAGCTATGAACACAGGCGAAATGCCGTCACTTTTCTCTGTTACGCCGTATGCGAAAGATGCCCAAGCATTTTCTATCTGTAGAGGCAAATTAA